CAGCCAGATTTCTCACTGGTTTTAACAGGAGGGAGCACATCACCCCTGTTTTAGCATCATTCCACCTGCTTCCTGTGCGTTTTAGAGTTGATTTGAACTTTACTGATCAAAATGACGGGTGCTGATGTTTCCCATAATTGTCGGATCATTAGTCTCTATGTTTTTCACACCTGCAATCTATACAACAATGCGGATAATTTACTAGATTTATCGAGAAATATATTAGATTTCCAGTATTTCATCAAACTCCCAATATTAGAAGCAAACAGCTATGGTAATATTGTTATTTACAAAGCATTGTTCAAAAAGAGTCAACGCCACATTATCTCAGCTCCACTATGGTTGTTATTGCTAAATAGTGCTCTAGGTAAGACCTGTTACTCTTGGTGTTAAATAATGAGCTATTTCCAAACTATGCACACAACTTACTTTCATTTCAAATTGAGCTGTTTCCTTTTTTGCAGGTGCGCCCAACAATTATGGTACTTTTAATCTCATAGGTCTGGTACCGAGGTACATTTCTGATCTTATAACTCTCTCTTTTACTGCTTGTTTTATTGTCGTGAAGCACTTTGTAAACATGCGGAATAGTTTTAATAATAGTTTATAATAATAGTAATTATTATTATTATTATCATTATGCCTAATATTATTACATTGTATAATTAATCTTTGATTACATCTTTAGCTTGTCCTGAATTGGTTACTGTCAGTTTAAGAGTGGTCAGTGGACGGGCAGGGGCGAGTTGACCCCCTCCACCTCGAGGCTTTGAGAGTTTGCCATGTGAACTATGGAGACCCCATAGTGCCTTTCACTCACCACTCCGGCCTCAAAGAAACAACTCCAGGCCTGTTTTTTTATTGGACAGCACAGTACCCAACTGTATCTCTCTCAATGATAGCTCAGTCATTTCTGTGCATGGATCCACGTAAACAGAACAGTCTCTTTTCAAGATTACGTTAGAATAAGGCCAGCACAATAATGGCATGAACAGGCAATATGAGAGCATGCTAGTTACAAGTTCAGCATTTTACCTCCTTTAAATGTAGGCACATTTCATCTGTGCCTGATATTTTCTTTCCTTATGAAAAATAACAATTTAGCAGTGTTTTTATATCTTTTTCATATGTGATTTTTTTCTCAACATTTATATACAATACAATATACAATACAATACAATGTTTGTTTATATTTGAGTGCGGCTCAATGCAAGAAATATGAATAATATTCTCAATATGCTATAATATGCACAAGGGTTATGGTGGACAGTTTTGTTGGCCTCTGTGGCTTTACTGTCATGTGACATTCTTTCATCCATAGGACAGTGCGTGAATGCCCCCCTCCCAAATACTGCCTTGTGGTCAGGCCAGACAAAAAGGTGTTACTGATTACTGTGTCCAGCAATTTAAGCCATTGAACACTGCCCCCAATTCACCTTCTTTCTTAACTTTATGGCCATAATTGCCATAAAGCTCCTCCTAAATCCTCCCAGCCCCCAGTGAGTCTTTTCTCAGAGCCTTTGTAATTCACTCAATATTGCTATTGTACTGTACTCTCATCCACAAGAGCATTCACATAATAGTTAGTCTGCCTTAATGAAGTAGGGTCAGGGTTCATCATGTTAGCTGTCTTCCAGCATTGAGCTGCCATTCAGCTCTGACCATTTCATGTCCAACTTGGACAACTACTTCTTTAAGCAGCGTGACAATAAAGGCATCCATCACTGGCCTGTCTTTGTGCAAAGGCTGTGACTGATGACATCTATGGCACTCCAATGAGCTGCACTCGGGCTGTGTGAATGTTTGTTTATGTGGAGTGAGGATTTGTCAAAAGCTTTATGTCATTGCTGGCATCAGGCTCCTGGGGCTGGGACTGGGTGGTCTTTGTGTGTTTGTGTCTTTCTCACTCTCATTTGTTCCCTATTGATTGTCTAAATTAGGTTGTTGAGAGGCCCTCCTATCAGGTGCCATATTAATTGGGTCAGCGTAGATCATATAGAAAATCAAAATATATATTTTTTTACTCATAATGAATGTTCTACACTTCCCTTTGAATCTCATTCCTGATCCAGATAATAGATGGTTCCCACCTGCCATGTTGCTGTTGCCCATTGTCTCATTGAATCATCACCCAACAGAGAATGACAACAGACACATGTGCAAAAGTCACTCAGAGACAGACTCAGGTTAACTCATATCCTTCTGTAAAGAAAATATCCACAGATCCTTTAAGCTAAATAAATGATTTATTGTACAAAAGAAAATGACAGTAAACAAAACAAATGCAAACAAAACAATAGAACAGTTATTCATATGGACCATCAAACTACAAAGATGGGTGATTTTATACTACACGAAGAATGAAGGAATGAAAAGGGAAGTGAGAAAACTTTAGAAGCGGTGAACCTGTCCAAAACATCATAAATGTCATCATTTGGATATTTACATAGAGATCTCTTACTCTCATATATTTATATGAAAACTCTCTCATACATACCAGTATACAAACACTACAATCAAAAGGTTAACTTGTCAATAGCTTTTACCAGAGTTGAAGCCATAACCGCAAGCACAGCTAATCAGTATCCTTAAGCACACACATTCCCAGAGCTGCTACCATCAGTCACTCTGTAACGACCTGAACCTGAGCATAGGAACCCTGTGCTTTCTATGTCTTCATGGAAGGGGCTTCTATAAGTTTAGTGTTTGATCAATGTTCAAAACAGTAAAAGGTTTTTAGAAGGGTAAAGTGAGGTAGACAGACTTTGAAATGCATTGTAATTAAAACAATAAATAGACAAATGACCAGCTGAGCTTTCTTTCAACCAGCATTCCTCCCTTTGAAATATTCTAGCTTCTTTTCCTGCAATCAAAAAAAAGGTACAGCATACAACATTCCTCTACTTTGGCTCACCTCCCGTTCACACATGACTGCTTTCATTTAAAAATACACAAAAGAAAAAGTCAATGCAAGTCACTCGACACAAGCGAACAGGACACATCTCTACATGGTACACATTAAACTTATAATTGGTGGGCCATTTCTAATTAAAGCATTCCCACTGATCCACACGTCTGTCTTCAGCCTCTCAGGCCACTGCTCCTGGAGTGTCAGTGTATATGGACAGGCTCCCGCTTCAGACAAAGCCCAGAAAGCGTGATGAATCAAAAAGATGTCAAACAGTGGTTCTCAAACTGTGATAGTAGAATTAAGTCAGGTTTTTCTGGTGGTTTTTCCCAGCTCCATTATGTCTCTGGTCCTGTTGCTGATGCTGTATTCCGGTTAGTTTTCTGCCTATGTTTAGATTGTGGTTTTGGTTTAGGCCTAGAGAGCTGGGTCTTTTCATGAACACGGTTCAACTTTTTTTGGTTCAGGCGCTTCTGATTCCTTGTGACCATGCCTTTGGACTGTTATTTGTCTGTGCCTTTATTTCTATAATTTATTGTGGTTATGGTAAGATCATTTATTTTTGTGTGTAATGTTGCCTTCTTTTATAATTTAATTATACCTTCTGGTAAATGAAAAATGAGTTTGAGAACCACTGCTCAGGTTTATGACCATAAACTAGTTTTTTTTAAATCCTAAACTGTACAAGCTCTCTTGTGCTTGGTCAAACACAGACAACACATTTTCTCCTCTGCCTTAAACGCCCCATAGTGCAAATTTATTGTTGGTAAGGTAGTGCCCCAAAGAGGATTTGTACCCCTTTTTAATATATACATATATCATTTATATAATGTCAGAAGGCTCTTCCTTGATCCAACAGCATAGTGCTTTAGTTTTACAACAAAAGGATATCTTTGCTTTGATATCCAGGAGACAAAGACAGACATTTACTAATCTACCATTCAAGCACTAACAATATTCTTATGATCACGGACTGTTGAGGTGACATTACAGGGCATTTGAAATGCATTAACATGTGGTTTACAGTTTTTTTTGTGTACAGTACCTGTCATTTTATAGACGCTTTAGACCAGTTCGTAACATTGTAAGACGCAATCCCGGCCTCAGAGGTTCATATTTCTTCCCGGTTTTTGCATATAAAACCAAATCCTTGTATTTTTTTTAACTTTTAGATTGTTTTTTGTTTGTTGTTTTTTTATGTCGTTACATCCAATAAAGCCTTTTTCAGTACTGCATTTATATAGATATATGTGGATATAGATATGGATATCTGTATAGCAGCAAGAACAACATTGTAGTGTCAAATATATTTTCTTTGTTATAGTGTGACTGAGGATTCCGATTCCCGCACACTCTAGAGCCAATAAAATGTCAAAGTCTACCTCTATGTGCATTGTCAGAATGGCACAATGCTGACTTTGAAATGGATGCGGGACAAGTAGCATAACCTCTGCCTTTTCTTTACAAAGGTTTACAAGTCTACAAATAAAAGGACATCAAAGTAAGTGTGAAAGGATTTTGTAGGCGCTGGAGAATGTCACACATGGGTGCGATTCATTAATAGTGGCTCTTGGTTTAGTTTTGAATCTCCTTTAGCTTTCAATAGCAGATGAATAATTGCTGTTTTAATGTAGTAATGAAACGCACTGTATAACATGCCTCATTTTGACAAGATTTCTTAAGTAGCTGTATCATAAAAATAAATTAATTCTCAAATTTGCATGAAAAATATTGTAAATGCTTTTTGCTATGTCTACCATCATCTCCATCCATAAACTTGGACATTTCACAAAGATACCAGTTAAAAACATCTTGTAAAAAACACACACAAACTAACACACAGAAACATAATTAAGTCCCATATATCGTTTGACGAGCCTGCTCCTCACTGTTTCTTTTCAAGGTCCTGTTTTCCCATCAGTCATTTGTGATTCATAATTCCTTTAGATTTTTACACTTATTGAATCTACTGAAAGGTATGGAAAACAGTAACATGTTTTATGTGAAGCAGAAAGTGAGATCTGGTGCTGGAGTTGTGGTGCCAGGGTTTTGGTGGCGATGCGATGGGGGATATACATGAGTGTATGTCAGCCTAAGAGCAGCCACACCGATCCACTACCATCCCAGGGATCTTCCCATGGATGATCTGTTGTTTGTCATTGAAATAGAGCATGTTAATGGGAGACATCTTAGTGGGCGTACAGCAGGGCCCCGCGGAGCCGCGCGGGTTAGCATGCTGCACCAGGTGAGTGTGTGGGTACTTCTGCATGAACATGTATTCGCATTGGCCCGAGCAATAGTTGGCTTTGTAACGCTTAGGAGCAATGATCCAGTCCCAGCCAAAGGCTTCGAAGTCCACCGTCAGAGGGTACCGGCAGCAGCGCGACTCGGTTGAGTGCTCGTCGCAGTCCAGACCCAGGTTTCTTCGAGATCGCTTAGTGGTCTCCAAAACCTTCACCTCCAGAAACGGCTGCTGGAAACAGGGGGGGGGGGGGGGGGGGGGGACAAATAGAGGGGAGGTGGTTATAAGATAAACCTGAACATTTGGGAAACTCGACTACACACTATCAGTGGCTTCGCCTAAAAAAATAAATAATAATTATTGGTTTTTTGTCTTTTGACAGTCCCCTAGTTTGTCACATACTGTATGTTAACATGTAGCTCTGGTATTTGTCAATGTTGATGCTTGAAACTTGTAATGTTTGAGTTCTGCAGGTTTTTTCCACTGCATGCTTGAGTGACTTGAGCTTGGTTTGGTCCATGACCCTCTGGGTCATCTGGGGGCCATCGCCTTAACCTTTAGGCAAAGCACGCGAATCAAATTTTTCAGTCAATCGTGTTTGTTTTACAAAGCACCCCCTCCCAGAGTGAGTCCAGCTGGGCTCAGAAATGGTCAGGCGTGACGCAGTCAGAGCCGTGAGGTGAGGGCCTCACTGTCCCACTCCTCTGTGGCTTGTTGTGTTTTGTTTTATTTTTGTACATGAGCCTGTTTTTGATCCTCTCTTTTTCTCTCTAAAATAATAATGAGCTCTGCTGCGTTCTCAGAGGGCAGCGTTTTATTGGCCAAGACCAGAGCTGACCTCTATTACATGTTGTGGAGATTTGACCCACATGGACACGTGATGTTTCCAAACTGGATGAATAGCCTAAATCAACATTCAAACCTCACAACAAGTGTGCGAGAGCACGGCACCCAAGACTTTATTAGTATTAGATAGCAATATGGCCTACGTGCAGGACTCTACAAGGACTCTACAAGGACTCCATGTTATGACTATGATGTGACTGTCTCTTTGTGACACGTATGTCTTTCGATGTGTGACGTGACAATGACTATATAAACTGTGTACTGCCTTTATTCTGTCTGAGGGAAAGAAACAGAGTAAACTAGTGGAACTTGAGAGAAACTTAAATAAACTTCCAGAGTTTGGCACACCACGATCCGTCTCTCTCTGCCTAAATCCTAACAGATTTTGTGGAGAATGCGCGGCTCGGTTTGTGCCATTCTCTGGATTGTTTTGGGGGAGTTTTGCTCTGTTTCTTTTCCTCTGCGTTAGAGATCGGCATGCTGTGTCTGGGAGCGGGGATTCCAGCAGGCTGGAAGAGCTGTTCCTGGATGCTTCTTGTCGCTTCTGTCACTTTTGTTTTTTTAAATTGAATATTCCGACGCGGAAAAGAGTTGGCAGACCTCTCGGACAGCCCGTGCATGCACCTGTTTGACAAGAATAAGGTAAGCAGACACCTTTTTATATGTAAAGTCTGCATAATTGGATACTAGCTAAATTTGGGTGTGTTTTTGAGGTCTGTCGAACTCTCTAAATTGTGTTCAAATAAGTGAGGATCCATAAGTGAAAAGGCCATAAAGTGAGTGAAGGATCCATAAGTGAAAAGGCCATAAAGTGAGTGAAGGATCCATAAGTGAAAAGGCCATAAAGTGAGTGAAGGATCCATAAGTGAAAAGGCCATAAAGTGAGTGAAGGATCCATAAGTGAAAAGGCCATAAAGTGAGTGAAGGATCCATAAGTGAAAAGGCCATAAAGTGAGTGAAGGATCCATAAGTGAAAAGGCCATAAAGTGAGTGAAGGATCCATAAGTGAAAAGGCCATAAAGTGAGTGAAGGATCCATAAGTGAAAAGGCCATAAAGTGAGTGAAGGATCCATAAGTGAAAAGGCCATAAAGTGTATAGGATCCAAAAAGTGTTGGCCATAAAGTGTATAGGATCCATAAGTGAAAAGGCCTAAGTGAAACCATGGTGTAATAATAAAAGCAATTTTTAAAAAGGGAAACGTGTTAAGGAGGCCTTTGTTACAAAAGCTTTGAAATTGACGAATTTCAGGCTGATAAATGACAAAAGTACATAAGCAACAATATTTCAGTGATCACGGTTTAAATTACATACAGAAAAAGGGAGTTTTTGTTTTTGGAGTGAACAGAGTTCACCGGAGAATGCAGAGTTTTATCTAAAGTTGAGCTATGAGAGCTTTCGTGAGTTATTTACATTTTTTTTACCGAGTTTTATCTACAGTTGAGCTATGAGAGGGTTGTATCCAACAGTTGTTTTTGTTTTTTAGAAAGAGATTTTGAGTTTAAATTAGTTTGCTACCTCGATAAAATAGAAGCGTACGTTAAAGACAAGAGTGCCTTTTGTTACAAGTGTGGAAAGTGATCACTTCTAGATTTGGATGACAAAAGTATAAAGAACAACATCAGTTATATTCGCTTAACAAAGTAATCTTGAAAGTTATTCTTCTGTATCTTTCTGCCTGTGTGTGCGCGTCTGTGTGAAAGGAACCCCCCCGCCCTCGCTGCTGCTGAGCTGCTGCTCTGATTTAAAGGGGAGCTACTGCTTTAGGAATTTGGCTTTTCATAGTAGTTATTCCGTTAAATTTGCTAAATTTGCCATTTGAACATTGTGTTAGACACAGTTAAACGTTTTTAAACACCATTAGGGAATAGAAGTTTTGAATTAGTATGTTTTTGAAACCCAAAGATTAGTACAAAAAGCTTTGCTTTTCTTTTTAAATATGCTGCTTATTTTGTGAGTCCATTATTGCATCTCTGATATATTTCATAGCTGTTAGTGAGAATTTTTTCATGTATTTTTTATTTTAGTTACAAAAGCCGTTTTTCAAACATTTAAATTAGAATCTGTTAAAAGTGATTAATGATTGTAGACTTCGTCTAAAAAAGAAAGAGGGAATTAGGCTGTAAAAGTATTATATTATTAAGTTAAACTACCCAATTCACATGCAAGTGGTGACTTTTGTTTTTGTTTTGACTACACGCGTGACCTTGCTGCTGCTCAGAGACATGAGGAGGCAGCTCCGACGCACAATTGAGTTTTATTGAACCAAATCCAGTTTAGCTGGAGCTAAATCTTTTGTTTGATTTCAAGTTTTGTTTTAAATGTTTTTACAAATTAATGTTCATTTTTATAGAGATTTTTCATAATTTCATTTCATGGCGTCTTTCAAGAAACCCAAGGACGCATAGATAATTAATCACACAGTACAAAAGTATATAATACATGTTTTAAAGTTTAAAAGGTTGTTTGTTTTGAGTAAATTGTTGTTTTGATAACTTCTTTAGTTTCTGGTTTTAAAATGTCATCATTAGTAAGAGAATAAGTAATCTTTATTTACATAGCGCTTGGGAAAGCCAAGAGCGCTCAAATTGTTTTGACTTCAGAGAGAAAAACAATCTCATTCGCATACTGATATCTATTGTTTTTTTAAATTGGCTGTTTCAAGGATTGTTTTTCAGACTCTGGCACACTGTGGGAGGGGTCACTGCTGGACACTGGACAGCGCAAAGCCCACCCAGCCACAGGTCACAGATCAAAGAGCAAAGGAAAATGCCACCTCCTTGCCCCTCCCCACGCCACTGCAGAACTGAGTGGGTGTGAGAGAGACCGGGGCCATGAAAGAGAGGTATCTGGAGACGTGATGGGTGGAGCGTCAGGTAGAGACCTAGAGGGAGTTGAGAGTGTGTCCAGTTGGTTTGCATCACCACAGTGTGACCTTTGACACCTACAGGTGGTTCGTGGAGTCTTGAGAAACAACCCCAAAATTCATATACACACACACACTCACACATTCACATTTACATATAGATACATGAAAAAGCAGAACATGAGAAAAAAGCATTTTAAAAGTTTACTCCAATGTAAACACATATTTAATTGTCTATCACTTGAATCTTTATTTGAATCAGTATTTTTTGAGACCAGAAATGTTCATTTGAATTCTATATTGTCATGGACTTAATTGACCTCTGTCCTGACACTTTTGATTTGTTGATTTTGTACTGTGTGAAGTAATTACATTGATGAGAATTAGATCTCATAAAAACACAAATTAGAGAAGTAAACTGCGCTTGCTTTTTGTCTGAGAGACATTAGCAACAGCATGAATAGAAATTGTCTTTAAAGTAGAATCAAAGTGACTTAACCATAGAGAGTAACTATTGCATAACAAGCTGTGTACAGGAACTGAGACACTGCACCATTGACCAGAAGTGCGTCGCAAATGACCTGATGTGCTTCAACTGAAAAGACTGTATCTGGAGATCTGATGTCCAACTGGAGAACCAGAACCATGGCTTGGACCCTACTGATGTCCAAGATGACCTGACCTGATGACGACTGAGACTCACCCTCAGGGGACCCTGAGGACCTGAGGACCTGAGGACCTGAGAGAAAACTGGGGAGTGATGTTTATATTTTTGAAATCATACATTGATGAGTGCTAAATGAGAGAGATACTCATGATTCCTTCTTTTGTTTTTGTTTGTCCCTAGCTTCTGGACATCTGATGATCTATTGGACACAGCCGATTTGCAGAACAAGAACCAGCCAATGAAACGTCTATTGCTGATGCTATTGCTACAACCAGAACCACAACTGTGACAAATGCAATATACATGTTAAGTATTCAGACATCTGACAGACAAAAACTTTGACTTTTTTAGTCTGGGAGACTGAGCAACTGTTAAAATGTTTTAAAATGATAAAGTATGAGTATTGTAGCGTTTTAGTAGATGTTAAATAGTAGTAAAAAAGTAGAATTGTCCTTTCTTTGTTGTTCATAAACACATTTCCACGTAAGAGTTAAAATAGTTCCATAAAATGTTATCTTTCTGATAGAGCAGCTAGAATATTAGAATCAGAGTTATGTTAGAGACATTAAAAGTGACAGAAGTCACAAATTAGAAATATGCCTTTGCTCAAACTGCAGCCAAACTTTAGAGTCACAATAGTGTAGAAATAGGAATAGATAAATGCATCAACCATAGCTTTCAAAAATAGAGAATATTTTAGCCAGTGCTAATATCAAATGGTAAAGGGACCATTTCACAAGCATTTACTTCAAAAGTAGATAAAGTTAAGTACAGTTTTATTAGATACTTGCCAAATTCACTTGTGTTCAAACATGAGTGAATGTTGACAATGCAAAAGTCCATATGAGTGTAGCCTAGATTAATGCCTAGATCAATGAGATAGATTAGAACCAACAGAGATTCAAAAGCATTTAAAAGCATTTTGATGTATTTGGGTATAGCACAAAAACACAATAGTAGATATTTAGATATTGAGAAGTTTCCAGCACAAACACCATTGTAGAATAACTGACCCCAACCCCAAACCTGCTAAAATAGATTAGCTCTTGTAAGGATAATAATAATTTGATTAAAGATGTTCATTCATCCCAAACTGCCTGACAATAATATCTTTAGATAATAAAAAGTAATAAATCACTGACCACTATAGAAGTGTAAATGTTGACCATTTGCCTTACTGTGTTCACATTTTATTCCTGAGAATGAGAATAGACATGGAGCAAAATCCCACTGATAATAAGCCACTGATAATGAGAGTGTAAAACTACAGAGAGATTTATTAGATTAAAATGTATGTTTAAGAATATGGCTCAATAGAAGCAAATATACAAACATATTTGTAAATAGATTAGAATAGTTTTAAACTATAGTGAATAGTGAAAGTAAAGTACACAGTCTAAGATTGAAAAGTGAAAATAATACAGTGAAATAAGTGAAGTGTAGTGTAAACAATTATCATTAGAATAAAAGTATAGAGTAATAAAAGTGAAATTAGCTTCTAATTTGAGACTCAGCTCGTTTTTGTCTGTGTTTTGACTGAATCTGCTGAGTTCTTGTGTGTCCAATAGTTTTTGTTTGTTTTTATTTTTGTTTGTTTTTATTTTTGATTTGTTTTTTGTTTGTTTATTTACTTTATTTTTGTTTTTTATTTTTTCCCAGGATAGAGGATAAAATCCACTGATATTGATTTGATGATTATGAGTTTAATGCATACATTTTCTTTGTTTTTAATAATTTTTTGAAGTTTTTTTTGGAATTTTTTTTTTTTTTCTTTTTCCACTTTATTGATTGATCAAATTGAGTGATCACATGTGATTATGTGATCAAAGGGGAGGGTATTAGTATTAGATAGCAATATGGCCTACGTGCAGGACTCTACAAGGACTCTACAAGGACTCCATGTTATGACTATGATGTGACTGTCTCTTTGTGACACGTATGTCTTTCGATGTGTGACGTGACAATGACTATATAAACTGTGTACTGCCTTTATTCTGTCTGAGGGAAGAAACAGAGTAAACCAGTGGAACTTGAGAGAACCTTAAATAAACTTCCAGAGTTTGGCACACCACGATCCGTCTCTGTCTGCTTAAATCCTAACAACTTCACGGGCTTTGCCCTTAAAATGACAACATGTGTAAGTTTATCTCTGCTTTGTGGATCTCACATAAAAACCTATGGGCATTATGTTTACATGTTTGACAGCCTACTTTTTCTAACGGAACACTGCCCCACCCCCAAATCCACCCCTGGGACAGGTCTGAGTCCTTACCAGTCCCTCCTCCCCAGGATGCAGCGAGGTAACTGCCAGGTCATTGCCACTTTCGTCAAAGGCGTTGATGTCGATGCCCCAGTTGGTGTGCGGCTGCTTGAACCAGTTCTGCAGCACGTGCTTGAAGTCAATGCTTTGCCAGTGGCCCACACGGGAGTTGAGCTCAATCTTGAGTGAGCGGATGCGAATGTGACGGCTGCCCTGATCTGTCACCGGCTTCAGACGCAGGATCTGGAGATAGACTGTGGAGGTCTGCTGCAGTGGCCGCAGATACACCCACAGCTGAGCCTTCAGGACTTTAGTGAACATGAGTTTAGGGCTGAACTTGAAGAAGCAGCAGCTCGGCTTTCCATTCACCTGCACCAGAGGCTCCGCTGTGAGGAACAAGGAAAACATTTGATTCTTATTATACAATTCATTAAGAAATGTACTCCTACTCAATTGTTTTGTTTCCACAGTAGTTAGGATATTGTGCTACTAATTACATAGCAGTTGATGATACAGCAACAGTGTGGTTAAGAAATGGATTCAATAAGGCGAGGATGTGGCTCAGACATCTGTTTAGGATGCCTCCTGAACGCCTCTCTGAGGAAGACTGAAGACACTGAAGACATGGAGGAACTATGTCTCTCAGCTGGCCTCGGACCGCCTCGAGATTCTCCCGGATGTGCTGGAGGAAGTGTGTGTGGAGAGGGTGTGAAATGTTGAACTTCATCACACTCCTTTTCAAGTAGCAGTGAACACTGATTTTAGTTGTTGTTGTAGTGTGCACTTTTTTCATTGTGCGTGCTTCAAATAATAACTATAACTAACTAAAAAGGAAGGTCTTGCGTCCCTGTTCCCCTCACAACCTGGCAATGTATAAAGTAAAATAAGTATGTCTGGATGGATGTATTAAACAAATATTCATTGTTTCATGTTACATATTTGTAATAAACCACTTTGAACACACCACATCAAAATGTTTGAGGAAGTGTTTGGACTTTTGAGTCTCTATTTCAGCCTTTTACTCTTATATTTACATACACGTTTATTATTACATTGTGAGGCACAGTGTAACATTTTTGTACGTGTGGAGTGTAGTTTTAATACCTTTTTTACAGTTGCCTGCGGATGAAGTGAGGGGCCCCAGTGCAGGCTTTTCTAATTGGCCTAATAGTTAAACGCACAAGAGGCAGTTACAGTAAGTCTATGCGCACTTCAGTGTAGATAGACTTAGTGTATTCTATGTGTACTGGCTTCTAATCAGAAAATGATTCAAATAATGTCTAAAGTAAGGTTATGTTCATCATCATACTGATTATTTACTCATAATAGATAAAAAAATAAAAATGACCAAATTGTTTAAAAATGTGCATGTTCTATATTACACTATATAATCATGTTTAGACACAGTTCATTGTTGAATAGATCTTGGGCCATTATCATCTGTGCACATGCTCGGGGTTATTGGGGTGATTCATTCAGGTTACTTTTGTGATTACATCAAAGTTTGGAAAAGCTCTTCATTTCCATATTAAAACGAGCATCAGTGATGTGACCAGTGGCCAGATGGTAACCTCAGATTCCCAGGGGTCAATCGCAATAAAAAAGCCTATCCCCAAATCACTAGCACCAAATGAAAACTAGTTTTTATTAGCTCCCCTTATGAGTGAAACATACATTTGTATGGGTGAGGATTTAGTTTTATGTCTCTAAAATGGCCTGATTTATTCTTGTCATGATCCGTGCACCACATGTCACAGGCTCTTCATTTACATAGAGCTCCATCTGATATAATGACACTGCATTCATAAATTCATTTCTATGTAAAGCATTCATTTATTAAAGCTAATTTATTCGACATCTAACTGGAATAATAATGCAGGATTGAGTACAATAGAATATCTAATCTGAGAGTTTCCACTGCATATCTCTCTAATGCAGATTTAAACATTAGGTGTGATGTTGCAGGCTGTTGTGCTCTCAAAAAAGACAAGAAAACAGCATAGACCTGTCAATCATTGCTAAATCTGGTGTTGCTCGGGCAACCTGCAAATGCTTCCTGGGTCAAAAGGTCATTTGGCACCTCAGCCTAGTTAAGAAATGGGATCAGGGGTCAAAACTGTCAGGCTCTTTACATCTTTGGAGCTGGGGAGGGGCAGCCCTAATAGCCAGATGAGTTTGAAGGTCAAGGTCGATCCTATGGTAAGGGTAGCACGTCTTCCTCACAACATCCCCTTTTATTCAAGATCTCAAATGCAAGCTCTCACAGTTTGTTTTAGTTTTGTTCTGGAGGCCATGGCCAAGTCAGTGACAACTGAGTTGTCAAACTCAACAGTCCAGAGCAGAAGGATTAGCCCGGTAAAGCACAGTTCAAGAATGCTGAAGTTTGGCTTTTATCTATTGTCCTGTTTCTTCATGCCAAGGCTACATGGATGGACCTCAATCATGAATTGGACATTCTGTACTCAGTATGTAACCCATCCTGCAAATTAGATCGAGATTTTTTCTTGAAGTAGCTGAGATCTACCTCAATCATATGTGTATAATATTTGGAATGTGCTTGCAGGACATTTATGAATATATTTTTGTCAATGAACACAAACCTTCATACAATATGTTTTTATCTCCTGGGATATTCTCTTCACAAGCTCAGCCCTCAAATATTTTGTACAAAGAATATAGCTTTGAGTGAGTGATTCCATTATTAGCACTCCTCCTTACGGGCGCTTGAGAAAACTCCAAGGGGCACCTGGTCGGTGACCCCTGCTCTAGAACATAAGGGCATGTCTCCAGATGCTGCTCTGAAGAGCTTGGCTTGACAGAATCAGCTCAAAGCTTCAGTTACATTTTTCATCCGTGTGGATTGGACATGCGTAGTAGATCAACTAAATAATGACTGTTATTAAAATGATCTCCAGCTGCTTGAAACATTCTTATCAACATACACTTGTTTACTCATTGATGTAGAATGGTGAGAAGAAGCATTGTTACTCTTTTCCTCTCTTGACTATATGAAATCAATGAAACAATCCTGACATGGATGTGTGCAAATGTGATACATGAAAAAGGAAAAGTATTCATACCCTATCAATCTTGCCACTTTTTGTCAAAAAATGTATTATTCTGTGTTTAGAAAGACCGCCTCAAATTGATACATGTAGTCAAATAAAAAAAAGTGATACAAAAATAAAATTAAAAAACACAGATGAATAATAATCTTTTTGTTTGCTTTTTTTTTGGAAACTAAGACACTTCAAATGGCATTATTCATTTACTCCATACACAGTGGTGATAAACTACTACTGTAGCCACAGCTGCCCTGGGCCAGACTGAGATTACATTTTGTCTTAACTACTAAGTAGTTAGTTATGGCGAAAGAGGTTTGTTAAAAGAATATTGATTCCTGAACGGCATCATAAAGTCCAAAAACCCACCAGAGAGGTCGGGAAGGAAGTGGTGAAGAGGCTTGAATGTGGTTCGGTAGAGCCTGGTTAGGCTATAAAAAGATTTCCAAAGCTTTGAATACCTGACTGATAGCTGTTTAATCCATCATCTGAGAATGGAAAGAGTATGGCACTACTGCAAACCTACCAAGACGTGGCTCAACCAAATGCTCAAAATGGGGAATCTGTACATGGGGCAAATATTAGCCATACTTAGTTTACACACATCTCGCCTTTATGGACAGCTGTAAATTGTGTTTAAATAAAGTTGCAAGATGCAAAACACAGTCAACATGTGGAAGAAGAAACTGGTCTTAAATCAAAAAACACAATATGTTGTAATACTGCTCATCACTCCCCTCACACCATCCCCAGTGTCAAATATGGTGGTGGCAGCATCATGTTGTGGGCCTGCTGTTCTTCAGCAGGGACAGGAAAAAGGGCAGATCTAATGAGAGGATGGATGGGACAAAATGCAAGACATTACTGGAAGAAAAGCTGCTAAGGAGGCTGGGGCAGATGTTTACCTATTAACAGGACAATTTCTCTAAACAAATAGCCTTTTCATACATAAAATGGTTTAAAACAAAACATATTCATGTATTAGAATGACCCAGTCAAAGTCAAGACCTATCCAATACCACATAATGCACTAGATAATGCAATATTTATAATGCATTCTATATACATAATTTTTATGATCAAGCAAGTAATAATAGATAAAAACACATAGTAGGAATAAACAATTTATGTACTTGTCTGGTGCACACTGGGGACTTTTGCACATATATTCCAATGTGGTTTTACTGCAAATGGCAAATAAAGTGAATCTGAATCTGAAACAAAAATAATGTAATGTTATGGTGCCAGAAAACTACTGCCACTAGATTACCCCCTCCCCATGATGTAAAACTCCCCATACACCTCCTCCCCAATAATGTACCCCTTGGTACCCCCTGGGTGCCCCCCTCATTTGACCTCATGGGTTTATATATGACCCTATCCATTTAAACACCAGTTGGATTGTCCATCCACGCACCTCACATCTTGCGGCTTTGCATTGAGAAACAGCCTTGGTTTTGCAGGTGTTTACATTGAGATTATGTCCCGTATCAATATTCCGGTCACATGCGTTTTTGCACTTCTGTTCAGTCTGTAGATGTGCAAAGCTTATGGTCAACCCCCATAATAAAGTGGGTTTCACCAAGTATTCCCTCATGGAGGCTAAATACTTTTGGAAGCCCAACCCAAAAAAAAAAAATCATGTATCATTTGGTAATAGAAGGACACCATTCACTAGGACATGACTGTATCACAATTTAAATGCTTTAGGCGCACGAGTGGTTGACGTTGATCCCCCTGCAATGGATAATTAAGGCTTTGTTTTGTCAATAGATTTCATCGTCATAATATTGTTATATCATAATTGAACAATATAAGTTGAAAATTTGGATTTAATAGACATTTTAAGCTAATTAAAAACGTATTTCTAGTTTGATATCACTTTCTCTAAAAGCCTTTTCTCTTTGACGTGCTCCTTTTACTTGACTGAAGTCTGGGGCAAGTCTAAGCAGTTAACAAAATAGTACCTCTTCTGCAGATCCCTCTCTCCGGGCGCAGGTGCTCCTGTATTGTCGAAAGGCCAGGGCGATATCATTTTATTTTATTTTTCTCACGATGAGACTGCTGAAGATTCCTGGTTTATCTGTTTCAAGCTAAAGCCGAGCACCTGGTTTATTCCCGGTTCAGTTCTGGTTCAGACCTGGTTCAAAGCACCTCACAGTTTCTACTCACCACCTATTAACCAAGTAAAACGTTTTAATCATTTCTAAAGTAAACTTGAGTGCATAAAACTCAAGTTTGCTTTGGTGTGTTTTCTATATTACTCACAATTTATAGTCTTCTCGTTTTTCTGTGATTACTGTCTCTTTTTGGAAAACACTCAA